TTCCGGTACCCGGAGTCAAACTCACGACCTTGATCTTGCCAGGCAGGCACTGTGCCGCTGAGCTAAATCCCCAACCCCAGGGAGCTACTTTTATTAACTAGAATGACAAGAATCTGCCTTATTGGGAGGCCGATTTAAAGCCCCATGGACTGTGTGCGCCTCCACGTGGTGGAAGTGAAGAAATGCACACAGAGACCGCAGGGCCCCAAAGAGCCAAGGAAGCCCTTACAATGGGCGCAGGGCTCAGGGTGTAGGCAGCTGGCATTTTCCTAGGCCAGGGGCTGAGGCTTCTGTGGCACTGATTCTTTGAGGTCACTTGGTCCTGGGCCAGGTCCAGATGGGGCAGGAGGCTCTGGCTTTCCTGGGGCTGGTGGGACGATGGGCAGCTAGCCTGTCTGCCTCCTTCTGTCCTTGTTTGAGGACAGGAATCTCACTAAGTTGCTAAGTTGCTCAGGTGGACTTGAGCTTGCAAACCTCCTGCCTCAGCCTCCCAGAGTTCTGGGATAATATGTGTGCTCCACTAACGCCCAGCTTGTCTTCACTTTTTCTTTTTTTTTGCCACCTTTTATTTGCTGAGGCTGAGGCAGGAAACTATTTCCCTGGGTGGGGGGTAGTAGGGCGGTGGGTGGGCAGTGCAAAGGCCCTAGTGGCTGGAAAGGTGACATGGGTTATCGGGAGTAACAAGTGTCCCCGCCCCCCCCCGCTCCCGTGGGTGGCACCAGCGGTCCTTGAAGCCATCCCTTTGTGCCGAACAGCTGTGTCTTGAGCATATGCTTGGAACTGGACTCACAACTGGGGGCGGTCGCCCTGATGGGGCGGGAAGGTTGCATCATGAAGGAAGGATGCCGGGTCACAAGGAGCCTGGCACTGAGACCTGGGCAGGGTGGAGCTAAGGTCCTGGGGCAGGAGGACAGAGCTCACCCCGACCGCGCCCCTCCCCACAGACTGTGGCCTGGCGCCCGCAGCGGCGCTTGCTAGGATCGTGGGCGGCAGCGCTGCGGGCCGCGGCGAGTGGCCGTGGCAGGTGAGCCTGTGGCTGCGGCGCCGGGAGCACCGCTGCGGGGCTGTGCTGGTGGCTGAGAGGTGGCTGCTGTCCGCCGCGCACTGCTTTGATGTGTGAGTCCCCGACCACGCCTGCCACGTGTGCCTCCGAGGAACACCGAGGGTGGGCTGGTGGGGAGGGGGTCGTCCCTGGGACGCCAGGCTCTGGTGCCGCCTGCACCGTGGCCACCAGGGTCCCTCGCAGATGCTGATGGGCTTGGCTGCAGGGTCGTTCTGGGCGCCTCCAAAGGAGGGAGGTGGGGCGGGCTGGGTGGAGACCCCAAGGTCCCTGGCCAGCTTGGGTAGGGAGGGGACCCCGCGCACCAGGCTCCCCGCCGACGCCCGCCCGCACGCAGCTACGGGGACCCGCAGCAGTGGGCCGCGTTCCTGGGCACGCCGTTCCTGAGCGGCGCCGAGGGCCAGCTGGAGCGCGTGGCGCGCATCTACAAGCACCCGTTCTACAACCTCTACACCCTCGACTACGACGTGGCGCTGCTGGAGCTGGCCGGGCCCGTGCGCCGCAGCCGCCTGGTGCGCCCCATCTGCCTGCCCGGCCCC